GTGGGGGGCGGGGCTGGCCCCCGGGGTTTTGATGCCTTTTTTTTTTTTTTAATGTAACTACCTACCCAGCTGCCCTTTTCTGCAGATTGGGGGGCGGGGGCACGGGTTGCAGAAGCGAACCACGGGATGCACTCAGCACAGATCCCGGGGCCTTCCGTGCTCTATTGGCTAGGTGATGTGAGGTGCTCTACTGGCTAGGTGCCGCCCAAGCACCTGTAGGGACGAGCCTCTTCTGTGGCTTCCGGAGCTTGCAGAGGCGCCTGTTGTCTGCCTGGCAAGAGACACATCTCAACCATATTCTGGAGCTCTCCTCGCCACGTGGCCGGTGCAGAGAAAGGGTGTGGATACAGCCGGGAGAAGTCTCCATGCCTAGCACCCCAGAAACTTCAGCCTGAAGGCAGCCCTAGACTGTGATGATGAGCAATGGATTGTCTGCTGTCTGTATTAGCATGGGGGAAGGGACGCACACACCAAGGTCTTTTTCAGGTTTCAAACTCTTAAGACCAAGCTCGTCTTGACAACTCCTCGTGCTTAGAATTTATCACAGTGTAATTTTACTCTTACTTGTGTCCTTGTTTATTACTACGTAGCTCACCCACTTTTCTGGATGCTCTTACATAGTGCTTGTTTTACCCCAGCACGGTGCTTCATACACAGTAACTGCTCAGTAACTGTTGAATTGAGGAATGACTGTCAACATAAAAAGAAAAATCCTTCCCGTTTTAGCAACTTCCATGCACTACACAGGTGATGCCAGAAGGTGGCGACAAATACCCGCAGCAGAGTATTTCCTGCTTTAGCGGCGTTGGCAGCTGAGAATTATATAAAGCAACATATGCATTGTTTCCTCACCTCCGAGTGTAGGTTTATACCCTCGAAAAATACTTACGAGAAACAGCAAGATGTAGCAGAGACGATCTGGCAGGTCTGCATGCAAATCTTGCCTTGGCCACCATCTGCCAGCTGTGACCGCTCAAACTCATGTCCTAGTCCATCAGTTTTCCAGAAGTACCTCGCATTAATAGCCCATTCTTTCTAACAAATGAAGAAGCAGATGGAAATCTCTCTCCCTAACTTCCTACATGTTCCTGGGGTTGTAGGATGGCGGTGTGAACAGTCCTTATTGCTCTTCCTAAGATTGCAGCAGATTCGGATTAAGAGAAAACTAATTTAGGGGTTCCCTGGTGGCACAGGGGCTGAAGTCCTAGCAATCCAGTATCATCCCTGCAGTGGGAGTTCGAGCCCCACCAGGGAGTGACCCACGTGGCACAGCAGACTTCTCCAGTCTGGGTGCTGCTCCCCTCAGCAGTGTATTTCAGTACATCTGACTGTTCTGCTCCCCACTCTGTCTCTGCTGAATCCTCTCACCCCCGCCCTCACACCTCTGGCCTGCACCCCATTTCTTGAATGCATAAATAAGCCTTAAAAAAAAATGAAATTAACTTCAATGTTCCATGAAGTGGAATTGAGGATGAACCCTTACAGTTAGTGCTGGGGAAGCCCACACTGTCCAGCACCAGGCCTGCACAGCCCGCTCACCACCCCCCACCGGCACCCCACCACCTGACAATAGCTTTCCCCCCTCACTTCCCTCAGCTCGCTGGTGTTTGGGCTGTGACCGTCTCCCTCATCACCAGCCCAGCTTGCTGACCAGAGCCTCCAGGATACCATCGAGGTTCCCACAGGGCAGCTGTTTTTAGCAGCAGCGTTGGACTGTTCATCAAGATGATTTAGCCCCTGCTGTCTGCAGCCCGAGCTGCGTGCGAGTGGGGTCGAGAAACGGGAGTGGAGAAAGGGGGGTGGAGGAAGGGGGGTGGAGGAAGGGGCGAGCAAACAGGCCCTGCACTCTGGGTTGTTACGCTTCGATATCAGATACTAAAAGTCCTTAAATAAATATGAGTGGCCGATGGTGCTAGGCTCGAGGGGGTGTGGAGCCGTAGTGGAGCTGGAGGGACTGTGGCAAAGAGCCCCCTTCACTTAGTGGGGTGTCCGCCAGGCCGATGCTGGGGGCCTGGAGACCCGATCTGGGGGGCGGGGGAGGACAGTGAATAAACTATGTAAAGATGGTGTCTGGTGGGAGCTCTGGGGAGAGAGCGGTGAAGGGGGTCAGGGAAACCGGATGGGGAGATGACCCCTTCGTGTGGAGCCAGCTGGGTGATGCGGGGCTCCCATTTCACCACACAGTTGGCGCTCAGACGCCACATACAGCTGTGACAAATGCAAGACCTGGCGACACACACCCGGGCGACACACACCTACAGTAGTGCGCATCTGCAGAGCTTCTGTGGGGATGTGGGGGGTGCGCGCGGGCGGGGAGGTGGTGGTGGGCGGCGGAGCCGAGAGCTGGGGCTGGGGACCGACCGGGAAGGACACAGCAAACCAGCGCTGCCCCAACCCCCTCCCCCCAGCACAGCCCAGAACTCACAGGTCAGGAGGGCGGAAACCACCAGCCTAGAAAGCAGGGAAGCGCAGGCGGCGCAGCGGGAGAGCGTGGCCAGCAGAGAAGCTTCAATGGCTGCGAGCTAGCGAGCGTTTGGGCTGGACACGGAGAGCAGGGGGCGTTTCCGGAGAGCAGGGGGCGTTTCCGTTGGGCCCAGAGGCTCGGGAGAAAGCGAAGGGGGCAGCTGGCAAAGCGAGGGGCGGCTGGCCAGACCAGGAGCAGGGGATTTGCGATTGGCGAGCAGGTGACGCCACGGTTCCGAATTCAACCTGCGCAACTGGACAGGCCACTGGAGGTGGACCAGAGAAGAGAGGCATGCGCCCGCCCCCATTTCTTTTCCTCTTCCACCAGGCAGGGTAATGCAAGGTGTCAAGGATAAGAGCCCCAGAAGACAGCCCTGGCCAGAGCCGCACCTGGATCATGTTAGACTTCAGCCTCTAGAACTTTGAGGAATCTGTTTCTGTTGTTTATAACCCCCCAGTTTATAAACCCAGTTTCAGTCTGACTGCTTGCACTACTAAAGCAGACAAACATCCACAGATAAATACATAAGTTCAAAGCTCTGTTTTATGTAGTCAAAGATTTACAACCAGAAGATGTATAGGTTACAAATGTCACCGTAGATTATTTCCACATCAACCTGTGATGATCGGCGTTAAAGGAAAATACCTTGAATTCATAAAGTAAAACAAAAAGCAAATTTTCAAAAATGTTATTAAGAACAGAACAAATGTCAAGCAACAATATGGAAAATAAAAATACTTGTTTTCTGAGGCAATTTTGTTCTCCAAGAGACGCGAACAGCAGTTCAAAGCTTGCTGCATTCCTAGAGGTGGACGGGAATGTGGCTTCATTTCTGTGATGATCCATCTGAAGCTGAACTGTATCATCCACAGAAAGCGCATTCCCCTGGGAGGAAAACTCAGAGCCCGGCGGGGTGGCAGCTGGAAAGGGGAGCACCCGCAGCTTCTGGAGCGCCCCTGAGCACACGCCCCCCGCGGGAGGGGCTTCAGTGAACACCCCACCAGGCCCATGTAACTTCTATAGCTCGAAATTTACAATCGATTTTTTCTCTAGGGTTTCAGATCTAAGTTAATTTTTAATAGACTGACCTAAACTGTTCAGTTGTTTCCAGATATTCCTTAACGCAAGTTTGCCATGGGCCTCCCGGGTGGTGCAGGGGTTCACGTCTCCCTCACACAGCTATCAGCAGCCACCGCAGCAGGTGGTCAGATGCCCGCCAGCACCTGCTGCTCCCCTGAGCAGTGGACTTCGCCGATCTGCCTGTTCTGCTCCCCACTCTGTCTCTGGTGAAGCCTCTCACTGCCCCTGCACCTCTGGCCTGTACCCCAGTACTGTATGCACAAATAAATAAATTTAAAAAAATATATTTTTTTCTGAAATAAATGGCTGCTGCTGTTTTACCGCCCTGTGTTCTGGGGTGAAGCCTCACAGCAGCAGTACCGGGACCAGAGCTTGGGGTCTGCCAGTGGGGCTGCAGGCTCAAGCCCCAGCCAGCTCCTCCTCCCTGGCAGTTTCTCTTCCCCTGGCCTCTTGTGCTGGGTCCTGACATGGACGTGCGAGCTGTACTCGGGGGAGTTTTCTCCCTCCCTCTGTGTTCCAGGTGTAGGAGGCCTGAGCTAGGGAGCTCGTCTCTCTCAGGGTCAGCAGGCCCTGGTAGGACGCACAGAGGAAGAGGCACCAGGGCCCCCAGGGCACACGGCAGTCACAGAAGGCCGCCCTCCGCGTGCCTCCCAGCAGCCTGTAGCGCTCTGCAAGTTGCGTGACTTAGCAGCCAGGACCCAGTGACATCAGTTGCTAGATTTATTCATCCAGAAACACCCATATCCCTTCTGTCTTAAGGCCACATGGTTTGTTGGGTTTTGTCTTGTTTTCTGCCCTTTCCCTGGGGAATGTCCTTTAGCTTTGTGGGTGCAGACAGAGGCTGGACTATCATCGACACCCTGTCCCCGGGGCCTGCTCTGCTTTCTTCTCCTGGGCCCTCTCTGTTTCCCAGGCACCTGGCCTGCCGGCTCCAAGAAGAAACTCTTTGTGTTCTCAAAATAAGCCCAGTCATGTTCTATTTTTAAGGGGTTTTAAATGGCTCTTTCGTGAAAGAAAAGTCCCTGTCGAGGGAGCTCCCCCAGGGCGAGTGTGAGCTGGCGACAGGGAGAAACCAGGTCTGGGCAGGCCGAGAGAGCGCAGGGAGGCCACGAGGCTGGACACCCCCCTCCCCCGGGAGGTTCCCAAGCTGCCCCATGGGCCGGCCCAGAAGGCGGCTCCCCGTTTGCGCCTTGTCCTTGGGGACAGAGAGCCAGGGAGCAAAGGGGTGCTAACTGCCGCCAACTCGGCCCTGCGCACGATCTGCTGCGCCCCTCACCCACAGGAAGCAGCCCGATGCCTCCGTGAGGACGGGAGAGGGAGCCCGGGGCAGTCCCCGCGGGCTGCAGTGGGAACCACGGCCCTGCTGCACGGCTCTGCCCGTGGGCACCGCGGGCCCGGCCCTGTGCCCTCCCGGCCCTGCGCCCTCCCGACACCTGAGCGTGTGTTCCCGTTGCAGTTCTTCCCTTACGGAGACGCCTCCAAGTTTGCCCAGCACGCCTTCCGGACCTTCGACAAGAACGGGGACGGCACCATCGACTTCCGAGAGTTCATCTGCGCCCTGTCCATCACCTCCAGGGGCAGCTTCGAGCAGAAGCTGAACTGGGCCTTCAACATGTACGACCTGGACGGCGACGGCAAGATCACCCGAGTGGAGATGCTGGAGATCATTGAGGTGAGGGGCGGGGCCAGGGTCGGGGGCGGGGCCGGGCAGGGCGTGGCCAGCGCTCAGAGGCGTGGCCAGCGCCCCACAGTCTCGTGGCTCCACGTGAGCCCTCCACATGGCCGACCAGTGCATCGGCGGCTTCTGATCAAACGTCTGTCCAGAGTGGTCGCTCTGCCGGGCCCAGACCGGCAGCCTCTGTCCGCCCGTCTAACTGCCTCCGTCTGCTCGCTTCTCCCCACCCTCCTCACGTCCAGCCCGGCCCCCTCTCCGTGCACACCCAAAGCACCGCCTTGGCTCACACGCCTCCCGCTAGAATGCTAGAACGCCCTTCCTGCTCTCTCGCCCTTCAAGGGCCAGTGGTCTCGCCTCGTCCAAGAAGCCCTCTACCCGCCAGCAACCGCTAGCTCTCCACCGCCCTCTGGACACTTCCTCTCTGTTCCAGTCACAGGGAGGTGCCCACTGACCCGAGGGCCAGGTAAGAAGCGGCAAGGACGACAGAGGCGGGCAGGAACTGGAAAGAGGGCAATGGTCAGCGAGAGGAGAAGCCGGCGAAGGACACGTGCCCCACTGACAGACGTGGGTCTGGCCGGAAGTGGCGGTCCTTTCTCCTGGCCTCATCCCCAAACTGCTGTGTCTGCTTCCTCCAGCCAGAAACAGGGGGTCACCCAGAGTTCCATATCTAATTGGTCAGATGACCCATAGATATTGGATTGTATTGCTCTGATCTTAAACCATTTAAGGAGTCCTTTGAAATTAATGTAATTCCTGTATCACATCGCAGGAGAACTTTATGGCCTGTTTCTTATTTTCCCAAGGCTATCTACAAAATGGTGGGCACCGTGATCATGATGAAGATGAACGAAGATGGTCTCACGCCTGAGCAGCGAGTAGACAAGATTTTCAGCAAGATGGATAAGAACAAAGATGATCAGATTACACTGGATGAATTCAAAGAAGCTGCAAAGAGCGACCCTTCCATTGTATTACTTCTGCAGTGCGACATTCAGAAATGAGCTGAAGTCAAGGCTATGGACTGCACAAGAGTCTCAATGTTCCATTCAGTCTGCAGCTATTCACACACACACACACATACACACACTCACACAAATATATTGCTTGGACTACCTTACCTATAAATGGACTCGCTTCTTGTGTTTGAAACACTTGTGTGCATGAGAATGTCATTTGCTAATGAATTTTAAAAGCATATATTATAAAACAAAGAACCAACCTGCCACAATGTGATATGTGTAATATCATTTCATAAAAAACCCTCCTCCTCCAAAGCCTGGGCAGAAATGTGCTGCGAAGAGTTATATGATTTCTTGTTCATGTTTTGCTAATGCTCGTGTCTTCTTGATTACGTAATGTTAGTAGCACTGAGCCCCCCATGGTAATGTAACGTGACTAAGCTGTGTCGCCATCTCCTGTAAAATAGCCCTGGGCATGCCCGGTAGGGCCATGGCTGCTCCCCGATGCCCACACAGAGCTTGTACTATCAGTGTGTATGACATTTGCATGCCTTTTAGGTTTGCCTTAATCCTTATTTCATTTGCACCCTACCAACCTGGAAAGAGCTGTGTTGGAATTAATGCAGTATACAATTTAAAACCCTGCTAAATGACTCATTAAGTATATCTACCTATATATACATAGACACAAAGATATTATTTATTGAAAGTAAAAAAAGAGATGGAAGTGTATTGATTTCTGCTTGAATTTTCAAAGGCTTCTAAAGAGGTGGCAATAGATGTCCCAAATAAATTTATAACATTTGATTTTTTCCCCCTCAATTCTTATTTCACTAGGGTGAGGTTGGAGACAGATGTTCACGACCACGGGGGGGGGGGGGGGGGGGGCGGTGCCAGCGGCCATTTCCTTAAATACACAGCTGCAGAATTGTCAAGAGGGGGGAAGGGCAACTTTCTTCAGCCTGGCCCTCAAAAGGGGG